GTCTGTCCATGAGGCTAAGCTAGGGGTCAGATTTACCTCAGAAAATGTGCAGAGTTCATGGGAAATTTTCCAGCACTCCTGCAGAACTCTTCATTGTCCAAGAGGGCACGCAAGTGTTTTCTGGTAATAATGTCTCTTTGGGTTGGTGTGCACTCTAAGATTTCAATCTATTCTAGACAAAAACTCTTAGGACCCCAAAGCCAGATTAGGATATAGTATTGCAAGTGATTAGATTCACCTAAACACACATTTGTGACTGACCAAAATCATCAGATAATTGAGGTGTGCAGATTAGCCAGCAGAGTCCATTCCACTGATGTTCTTGTCCTTTATTCATTCATTTGTTCACTTATTTTTTATTCGCCCCTGAGAGATTTCCTGAGTACACTGTGCCAGGTGCTGGGATTACAAAGATAGAGGAGTTTCTGGTTTCAGGGCATTTACATGGTGATAAGGAAGAGAGATACATGTATGAATACTTCCAACTCTGAATTAGACTGCATGCTGTAAATACGTAAAGGGCTCTGGGACCACAGAGGGTAACAGCTGTATTAGGCACTGAAGGATGTATAGGAGGAATTTACCAGACAAGGTGAGGGGAAGAGGGGTATTTTAGAGAAGCAGTTTATAAGCTGCACATTTCTTCTTCCAGTGACTTCAAAACCTATTGTCTAAGGGCAAGGCCAGCCTTTCCCCAGGGTGCTCTTCAAGAGGGAATTTTGACATTTTAACTAAAGGTTGGGTTTGAGTTATAAGCACATGGATTCATACAGCTTCCCATTCTGATTGAAGTACAATCAAATGCTCTGGGAAATGACTTTAAACCTGGAAAAGCTAGTGACTCTGGTCATCTAGATTCTCAGTAAAATGTTCACAATATTTATGACACAGTGAATTACTAAAAAGTCTCAACTATAGAAATATTTTATAAATATACTTTTATTACTTGGAAATACATACAAAAATTCAAACACAGCTAAAAAACAGTTGCTAAGCAGAGGTCCTATCCAACCTGTTTTAATGAACACATAAAACAATTATAATCAGCATAAAACAAATTATTTAAGTCCTGAAACAACTTATTGTCTTCAGGGTCTTTAAATATTGGGTTTAAAAATTGATAATTGTTTTGTTCTTTACACCTATTTAAATCCTCCCCCCAAATACAGACCACTAACATTTGTTTGGTTCATGAGGTTTTATTTTAGAAAAATAGCTAAAGTCAGTAACTATAATTATTTTGAAAACTGAAATACAATGGCCATTTCCAGTCTTCTGTCACCTTCCATTCTCCATGGTTTCTCAAAAGTTCCCAAGAGTTGTAACAGAAAGCTTTTGCAACTTCCGACAGCTCTCTGGGATACAGAAGTGTGGGCCTAACAGCCTTGAAATCATTTAACGTGGCGGGATTTTTTTTTTTTTACTTCTCATTTTTGCAATTTTGTGTCATTTTATTTTTGTCCAGACTGTATCTCCTTGTCAGAGAAAAAATAAAAGATGAGTTATTCTGCTTTTCCTGATTGTCAATCAATCCATCACACTACTTTATCCACACTTCTTTTTGCTTTGACTCAGGTTTAAAAAAAAAACGCCTTCTCGGCAACCTTAGCATTTTCATGCTTTTATCATCCAATTTCTTCTTTTGCACATGATCTTTGACAAGCCGACTTCGTAAGAGAGCTTTCTCTGAGACGCTAAAATGCCCATTCTCTATCTTCCTCTCTATGGTCATTTAACTTTAAAAAAAAAAAAAATTTAGAATGTCGTATAAAAGTTTTTATCCTGTTATGGTTCCCCTCACAACTGGAACAGTTTCTGAAAAACTGGGAAAGGCAGCTAGGCAGAAAGGCTTCTTTCTAATCACGGTGTTGCCACTTAACTGTGTTCGTTGGTCTAGTCTTCTATCCTCTCTTCACAGCTGAGGAGCCTGAGGCCCAGAGTAGACTGGATAAACTGAGCAGACTTCTACCTGCACCAGTCTCTGATTCATGGTTGAGGGGAAGAAGTCTAAATTTGAGACCTGTTTCCAGAGTATTCTTTCTAAAACTTAAATATGAACATACTTCCCTGTCTACATTCTGTTAACGGATCTCCACTGCCTACAATATACAGTACAAACAAACCCTTTAGCTTGGCACACAAGGCCCTATGTGACTAGCTCCCATTTCTTTCTCCAGCTTCCTTTTTCATTTCTGCCTGCCCCCCAATGCATTAGCCCCACTACAAGAACTTATTTTCTCTAATGCATTATCCTGTTTCATACCTTTGCTCAGATTATTTTCTCTTCCCAGATCCCTATGCCTGAAGAACACCTATTCATCTTTTATTTTATTTTTTTTTGAGACAGAGTCTCACTGTTTTTGCCTGGGCTAGAGTCAGTGTGGTGGCGCCAGCCTAGCTCACAGCAACCTCAAACTCCTGGGCTCAAGCGATCCTCCTGCCTCAGCCTCCCGAGTAGCTGGGACTACAGGCATGTGCCACCATGCCCGGCTAATTTTTTTTTTTATATATATATATATTTTTAGTTGTCCGATTAATTTCTTTCTATTTTTAGTAGAGACGGGGGTCTCGCTCCTGCTCAGGCTGGTTTCGAACTCCTGAGCTCAAACAATCCACCCACCTCGGCCTCCCAGAGTGCTAGGACTACAGGTGTGAGCCACCGCACCCGGCCCTTATTCATCTTTCAAAAGCTCAGCATAAAAGTAATCTCCCCAATGAAATCTCGGGAACCGAGTGCTCCTTTATTTCCCCATTAAACTCTGCTTTCTTCTATCATTACATCTATTAATACCTGTTTACATTGTTTACATATCCATCTATCTGACCAGACTGTAAGCAAATCTAGGGCAGAAATTACACTTCATTCATCTTTCTATCTTTCATCACCTACTACAATGCCAAAAAACTTGCACTGAACAAACGTCAGAATGAATTCTGCTTCCCCATGATTTCCTCTAATCATAGTTTGATCCCTGGGAGCCACACAATGCCAGCTCTTCAAATATCTAAAGACTGCTCTCAGACCCAAGTCTTCTCCAAGCAAAACAGCCTTCACACCGATGTTTTAAATCCTCTTCTTATCCTAGCTGTCTTTTCATAGAATGAATTTGAGCTTGCTAATGATTTTTTATAAAACTGAGTACCAAGTCAAGTGCTAAACCTCTCAAGGGTACAAAAATTACCAAGGTCACTTTGCTTCTCATTCATTCGATACACATTTGATGAGAACTACTAAGTGTCTGAAGTGCTAGGCACTAGAGATATAGACATAAAATTCAGTTTCCTTGTCCTCAATGACTTTACAGTCTAGAGAAGACAATGATAATGGCAGGGCTAGAGCTTAAGTCCCAATATGCATGAACGCTGAATAATACATCCTCAAATCCACTCACTTTTTTAGCAGCCACTCTATTATAATCTTACATCATATTAACATGTGCTCCTTGAGGTCTTTTCCATAGTAACTACTCTCAGGCCAGCCCTCTGCAACCTAATACTTGAGTGTTATCTTTTGTTATTTTTTCAAACCCAAGTACAGGATTACAATTTATTCCAGTTAATTGCATATACTGCTTTTGGTCTTATATGCTAGCTTATTTAATATTTGTGCATTTTCATTCTGACCCTCATAGATTTGGTCTGTCATCTGACTTGAAGACAACTCTAACTTCACTCAAGTTATTAAAAGTAATGAAGAAAACAGAACTAAGGCCCAACCTCTAGAAAGTTCTGTCCTACTTTTCTAGTCACAGTCTGGTAAAATATACTAAATATGCCCCATAACACCTTATTAATATTTATTATTCTGAATAAAACTATGGAAACTATGGATAAGTCATGCATAACTAGGAATTACAGCCTGATTTTTAAAAATAACAATCATTAAATATCCATTATAAATATTCATTTTATTTTTAAAAGAATTGGAAGATGTTACATATATTACATACTACATATAATGGCACATGTCAGCCTTTTAAGCTTAAAAATAATCTTTCCCCAAACGGGGATTGATTTATACCCCAAGTATAAAATGACCCTTGGCCTATAGCACCAACCCAGGCCCAGAGGAAAAGCCAATTTTGAACCTGTCTGTCCTCTGGCATTGGGCTTCTTGATATGATACGGAGGGTCCTCTCCCTCTGGTTTTATTCCCTGGCAGTATTGAGGCCTGGCACAGGGATCCATCTTACTGTATGCTGCAGGCCCGGGAAATCAGGGAATCTAGAGGGGTTGGGTCCTCTAACAATTTTATAATGGGAAAAAAAAAATTAAAATCATATGTTCCTTATCTGTTTTTGATCCAACTATAACAATACAAGACAGAAGGAGGTTAGAATTATTGAAATACAATTTCTCTGCTGGTTTTTCTCTTTGGAAATTGAAGTCTCATGATAGGTAGTGCCTTAAAAGTCATATAGTTCAATACTGGTAATCTGTTCCACTGGTATCTCCCTTTCCCATAGTTAGGTATAATTTATTCAAAGTTTTAAATGCCATCCATATGCCACTTTTAAAGACAAACACAGAAATTTAATAATACTTTTCATTTTCTTTTTCTTAATTCAGAGGGACAATTCCTGCCAAATGTTCTGTCTTATGACTCTCCTCCACTTCAGAGTATGTTTAAGTTACACATTAAGAATTCAAAAAATACCATTATGGAATTTTCATAAGCAATATCCGACCAACCAGTAAAACACAGTACACAGTGAGAAAATTTTAATTTATTCCCCTCCCAAGTATCCAGAATATATATTCCCTTAGCTTTGAGAAATGTGATACTGAAAATACCAACAGAATTATCATATGATAAGAGAAGAAAGAAAAGCACATACTACATAGGAAACATCCCTAAGTCCTCCCTACCCTAGTAGTGCAAGTTAATGGTATGTTTCTGGCGATGTCATCCTTACTTGATTTATAAAAATTTTACAGGACAGATTTAAAGCGGAGATAGGCCTCTGATTTTTATTTTTGTAACCCCAGATTTTTTTTAAAAGAGGCTATATTAAATGACAATGCATTTTGAGTCAGGGGGAGAAAAAAAATTAAAAACCCAAAACTTCTTTCAGTTTATTCAAAATAAAAATACACATAGAATTATGAAAATATAGGTTTACTATTTCCACCACATAAGTTGATGCTGCTGTTGAAAGGCTTGCAAATTGTTTTTCAAGTTTTTAAAGCTCATCTCGATCCCTCAATAAAGTATACCTATATTCACTGGGTGCTAGTTTCTGGAAGGAGCTCTCAGGTGGACTGCTTGCTACATCTTGGGCTTGCTACAAAAGAAAGAACAAAGACATTTTTATATCAATATATTTTGTAGTTATTTTAATAAGAGTATTAGATGAATGGTAGTTGCCCTATTATTATTTTCTTATTAATCAGTAAAAGATAGCAACTATGTGCCAAAGACAAGAGTTAAGTGTGAAATCTTGCTTCCTCATTTCCAATGCAATTACTCAGATTCTCCAGGGCAGGGCTGCCACAGAGCCATTAACTATGGGCCAGTTTGTTTGCTGAGGTGTGGCAGAAGAAACCAACACACCTGACACCTGGGTGCTTTTCCTAGACTAGTCTGTAGAGGTAGCACAACCCTAAGTTGGCCCAAACCCTTCCCTCTTATAAATGACTGCTAAGAGAATTAAAGGCATCTACTCTGTATATACAGCTCTTATTTATCAATTACCTGGATGCCAGTAATTATTAAAACCTAGTTGAAGTAAGGAGGGAAACACACACTTCAATACTGAAAGAAATTAATTTCTGTAGTATTTTACTTGTGTACCAATAGTAGACAAAAATATACAGTGAAATGGTAAGAGTGACTTGCAAGAATTTTAAAGAAAAGTCAGTGTAGTCTATGCTTTATTTCCACACTGTGAGCTCCTCAGGAGCAGGCTGATTAATGTAGGCACACGTTGCATATATTACATGTCATATAAATGGAACATTCCCATTGTAACAGGAAGCAATGTGTCTTCAAACTTATCCATTGACTTTGTCATGTTCCTCTTCCCCAGTACATTTTTTTATTTTTTGTTGAGATATATGTTTGGATTAATTAGCTGAAATTATATTACCGTAAAACAAACATTTGGTGCCCACCGTGTATTAAGTATACAAAGATGAATAAATAAAAGTTCCTTGTCTAATAGAATTGAAACAAATCAGGGTAATACAATAATAAACTACATCTTTTCCTAATCTGATTAAATACTAAGCAGGCCTTCTTTTCTGAGGAAAATAATCACCTTTGGGTTATTGCCAAGAACAAGTTTTCCTCCTTCTATAGTTGCTTAATTATCTAAGAAAAATCTGACTTCATTTTTCAAGGGCAAAGCATGTCATCAGATTCCTAAAAGGAACTCTCACTCTTAAATAAGGTAAAGAAAAATTCAGTGTTTTTATTTCCCTTTATAAATGGAAGTTCTTTGGGCAAAATAATGGGTTTAAGTTCTGAGCATATGAAAGAGAGGATTTGAGTATATATCATCTTCCCTCTCAGTATCATGGTAATAGACATGATACAAATCATAACACATCAAAATGCAAATTTACGGCTAAGTAAAGCAGGAACATAGAAATTACTTGTAACAGAAGTTACAAGGTAGAAATAGTAAAATTCTGAGGTGAAAAAAATATACATAAAAGAACTTACAAAATTTCGATAAATAGTCATCAAAGCATTTTAAATCACAAATAGGAATGCTGCATTGAGCATTATGAATACTCTATTCGTGAAGGCTCTTAAAATGGTTTAGCAAGAATAACAAACCATTACTTTCTTTACAGTGTGGTCAATCTTCTAGCCACAGAGGAAGCCTTGGACAATTATTGGAATCCACTGATTTCTTCACTGATATATCTGCTTCCAATTCCTACTTTTTATTTCTATTTGAAGCCAACTGTATTTAACCCTTATATAGCCATATTCCAGAGGTCATACTCAGACCACCTTAGTTTATATGATCAAGAAACTATGTTGTAATATTCCTTCAACTTTTTGGAAGGACTAAAATTTTAAAAGTTAAAAAGCAGTATAATTTGTATATTTTCTAGAACCTATTCAGAATTTCTTTACAAAAATATTCAAAAGCTGCTTGACTGAAGCAGCTTGGAAGATAACTGAAAAAGGACAAAAGAGTTCCCACTGAAAAACACACAAGAGTCCTACCTCTCCTGGGGCTGTATCAGTTGGGTCAGGTCCGTGATGGAATTCTCTGTGCAGCTTTCCAGAATGTAAGTCAAATACAAATTGCTTGAGTTTCCCAGGAATTCTAAAACCATAGTCAAATAAAATTTAGATTAAATTGTTAAAATGGACTTATCTTTTTTTTATCACCCTTACAATATTAAAAAAAACAATTTTTTTTTTTTTTTTTTTGAGACAGAGTCTCACTGTGTTGCCCGGGCTAGAGTGCTGTGGCGTCAGCCTAGCTCACAGCAACCTCAAACTCCTGGGCTCAAGCGATCCTTCTGCCTCAGCCTCCCGAGTAGCTGGGACTACAGGCATGCGCCACCATGCCCGGCTAATTTTTTCTATATATTTTTAGTTGTCCGATTAATTTCTTTCTAATTTTAGTAGAGACAGGGTCTTGCTCTTGCTCAGGCTGGTTTCGAACTCCTGACCTCAAACAATCCGCCCGCCTCGGCCTCCCAGAGAGCTAGGATTACAGGCGTGAGCCACCGCGCCCGGCCTAAAACAATTTTTTTTTAAGTTTTACCTGCAATGCCACCATCCTGCCATAACTATTACAGGCCAGATGTATGTCAAACATTTTTACACAGTTGTAATCATGGTATCTAGATGCTCAGTTTTGTGTTCTAATTCTTCTTACTTCATAGAAGACTTTCTATGCTTATCATTTTAAAAGACAAAGTCTATGAAGATGCCGTACCCAAATTTACTTAACGATTCTTGATTGCTGGGCAATCAAGAATATTTATATATTTTTTCCTTAATTACATGTCTCTAACTAAAAAGGCTTATGTTCTACAAAATCGTATTCAAAATAACAGGGTTTAAGGAAAAAATAGTGTTAGGGGCTAACCACTTAAAACGGCAGCTTTGTAACCAGAGCACTAGTAAGAACCTATAACAAAAATATTAGCACTGTTAAAGGTCCACCAGCTTTTGAAGCCAGTGTCAAGTAGGTGATCCAGTGCAACCTTAACCTGGAGCTTGTGAGTCCTCTTTAGAGATGCAGGTCCTTGAAGGCATTCACTGCCAGTGAACCAGTTTCATCAAATTAATGGAACCCCGAGCATAGTAGCATTTTCAAGTTTTTTCCTAAACAAGGGGAAATGTCTTCACAACTTCTTCAGCCACATGTGCAGCTTCATTGCATAACTTAACATTGTGGCAAACAAAGTATTTCTCAAGACCATTAAACCAGCTTCTATGTAAAGGAAGGCTAGGATTTTCAGATGTTTTGTTTTATTTTGGAGGTCTTCATATACCCCTGGCACCGTTCTCTTTAACTGTGAAAAAGCTTACTCTGATGGCTTCACAACATTCTGAGAAAAATAATATATGAAACCAACACAACTCCACTTTCTGTGGATATTATTCTCTTAATTACCAGTCATGTATGAGCAAATTTGCAGCACAAAAACATGCATTATAGCAGAATAGATCACACTGCACTAAGCAGATTTATATATCAGACTTTTTTCTTTGTAATTATTTCCTTGAATTGTATCCAATAAAGTAGGATTACTGAGTTAACGAATAAGAACTTTTGACAAAGTGTGGGCAAATTATACCTATAAAACATCAATTTTTGCTATTTGTCTACCTGTTTGTTCTTTGTAGTCTTACCAGTATTTTTGCCTTTTTTAAAATTAAAATTGGCTTTGCTAATTTGATAAATAAAAGATACCTACATTTTAATTTACATTTCTTCAGAAATTAAGCTTTTTTCCCCACTGTTTTAATTTATATTTCTGCTCACATAAATTGTCTGCCTTCTAATTGAGATCTTAGTAGTTTAAAAAATTCCTTATATGTTTTACAGAGAAACCCTTTGTTTTTTGTGTCTGTTACAAGAATTAAAATGCAAGTCTAAACATACTTTAAATTCTGTGAGTAGAATTGATTGACTTTTTAAATCATCATTTTTTGGTAGCAAAAAATAGCTGGCTGGTGTTAATATTACCAGTTTATTTTTCTTTTTATCCTCTCCTGAGGTCCCAGAAGTGCTGTTTCTGCCCTTCAATAACTCCCACTGAGCTGTACCAACCAATAACTTCATTGTACACCCATTTTGGCTCCCCACTAGCTCCAATGCAACAGAGACCAGCAGGTGCCAAATGCACAGTTTACAAATACAAATGACTGTCAGGTAGCTGTATTGACAGAATGCCTCTGAAAGGTTCTCTGGTGCTGAAGTAATTGCACAAGCACCAGAGATAAACATTGAGAGAAGATCAATTTAAATTTAATCTGACATCATCTACTGTCACCCACAGCAAAGTGCTAAAATATATCCATTCAATCTATAGAATCGCAAATGGTCTGTGTTTAGGATAAAGCCCCTACTAGTTTGTTTTATAAGGTCCAAAGGTTATCACAGCTAATACAGTATGAATTGCTTCTGCCATTCAATAAATAATTTATGAATGACTAAATCTTAAACATGACAAATTCATAGCAAACACTCAACGCATATTTTTTCCTAACTTGATTTTTTTCCCCTTGTCAATATATGAGAGAAAGAATTGTGAGCAAAAGGCAAAGACAAGAGATAGAATGAATGTGAATTGATGTGGTAGAAAAACAGATTACAAAAGAGCTCTTATCTAGCTTGTGGCCAGAAACTATCCATCATTATTAAGTAGCAACAATCACTGAATCAACAATAAATTGTCAAGAAAACAGATATGGTAATCTGCAAAGCAGGAAAATAAATGGACCATTACCATCATAAATAAAATGATATATTTCACACTTCAGGGTAAAAATTCTTTTAAATCAGAACACCTAAGTGTTTCTCTCCCATACTCTTAAACACTTTGTTTGTTTGTTTACAATTCTTTATTTTCAGGTGAGGCAAAATTTAGACACAGTGAAATGCACAAAAGTTAACTGTATGAACGAGCTTTGATAAATGCATACAAGGTAAGAAGTAGTATTTTATCACTTCTTAAAATTTATATACAGTAGAATTCACTTGTTAGGCTTAAGTTCTATGAATTTTAACATATATATAGTATCTTGTTACCACCTCCACAAACCGGGTACAGAATTATTTCAACACCCTTTTCAAGTCAGACCTTCCTCTTCCCCATAACCCTGGCAACCAGTGATCTTCCTATAGGGTCATATATATGCAATCACACAAAATGTAGTCATCAGAATGGCTTTTTTCACTTAGCATACTGCAATTGAGATTCATCCTTTTTATACGTATAAAAAAATCCATTCCTTTATTTATTGCTGAATAGTATCCCATTGAGTGGATATACAATTAGTTTATCCATTCAGCCATTCGAGGACATTTGGGTTCTTTTCAGATGTTGGTGATTATGAACAATGCTACTACAAACATTTGTGCACAGGTTTTTATGTGAACTTTATTTCTCTAGAACAAATACCAGGTCATATGGTAGGTGTTTAACTTTTAAAGAAACTGACAAACTTTTCTAGAGTGGCTATATCATGTTGTAATCCCACCAGCAATGAATCAGAGTTTCAGTTGTTCTACAACCTGAGAAACAACTGGTATTATCATTATTTAAATGTAAGCATTCTAGAACATACATAATGGCATCTTGTTGTGGGGTGGTTCAAGTGATATAAAACTGGCCCTCCTAGCCTTTTCAATGAATCTTTTATTTCTACACCTGGGTGCTGTAATCTCTTTCTGTTTTACCCTAGCTCTGGTGAAGGTATTACCATGCATGGATAGATGTTTGAACTAATGTTTCTGTGTGGGGAGGAGCTCTGCCATCTGCTGATGTCCATTGAGATTAACCTTTATAATCAACTCCAGCCTGGATTACTGAAGTCTCCTAGATTCTATTTTGACCCCCTCTAATCTATTCTTCAAATTGCAGACAGAGTAATCTTTAAAAAACAACCTATGTCATTCCCCTGATTAAAACCCTTCATTGGCTCTTCCTGGTTTTCAGGATAAAGTCAAAATTTATTAACACAGCATGTAAGGGCTTTCATGAACTAGCTCTCTTGACCTCATCCCTCAGCGTGCCCCTTCCACTCATATTCAGTCAATAGCCCTTGAACTTGTTCCTGCCAATGTCACCTTTCTCTAAGCCCTGTCTCCTTCTCACCTCCATGGTAAACTTCTACAAAACTTTAAGACCTACCTTAGGCATCAATATCTCCAGAAACCCTGGATCAGGTACCCCTCTGTTGATCTTTGTCAGAGCAGTTATCTCATCATAAAACATAATTGCCTGTTAACCCACTTGTTTCTTTCCTCTATTTGGTTATGAGTTCTTTGAGGGCAGAGATCTAGTCTTAGTAAACTTTAAACCCTTGGTTCCTAGCACAATGACTGTCATACAGTAACTCTAGCTAAATATTTAATGAATTAATAGGTTAAATGACATCCTTTTGAGCACAGGTAAAGTAAGAACAACTAAGATTTGTTACTACTTTATGGTTTATAACACAACCATCATTTCTCATTAATTTTCAGCATAATCCCATTAGGTAGGTAGTAGCATTTTTATATATGCAAAAACAAAAACAAGAAATTAAGTGACTTGCCCAAAGGCAGGACTCTAATCTAGCCTCCTATGTAGTTTTAGGACTGAGAATCTTCTTTTAAACAACCACATCTTTATTGAAATATTTAGAATTGAGAGAGGTAATTCAGTCTGCAATAAGGCTTCAAATCATCCTCTAAATGTGCAATTTAATCTTTTAAGATAAAAAGGTCATCTGAATGAATTTTAAGAGGAAAAGGTCTAATTTGAATTAATATTTGTATTGCTTATATTTCTCATATGTTAAGAAACATCTCCATTTTTTAACCATTGTATTTAACATCTCAGAAAGCTGATAAAAATTCAATTATCTGTAGTAGTTACAAGGTTTGTATGTTTATTAACACTATAAATATCTGAGAATAGAGTCAGAAAGCTTACCTATTCTTGGAAAGGCTCATAGCCATATGCCATTAGAAATGCCTAGTAATAGCAAAATTCTGGTACATACTATTAATGTTCTTGCTAGGTGTAGTCACAAATGAACAGCAATATTGCCAATTTCCTTTAACTTGACCTAGGATTATTATCTATTTTCCCTGATGTGCTGGCAAAGGCCAAACTCAATATAGAGCCAATTTCTAATAAGACACAAATTTTCTTTGAAAGATTAATTCCCAAGCATTAATCACTGACCACCTAGTGTTAGTATTACCATTTCTACAGGGCTATATCATGATTCTCATAGTCAGTTACACTATTCTGTATAGTGAAAAAAAAAATAGCAGTCACCCCAACTTCTTCTATCCAATTAACAAAGTATTACTGTTCCAACAATTTAAACAATTATTTTAGGTTCATTTTTGAGGCACATATAAGTAATTTTTAAAAAGTAATGAATACTTACAATACATCCTTGAAGTCTCCAAATACATACATATGCCTGAAGCTGTCAATAGCTATAACAGGGCAATCTGCTGGAGTTTTCTGTATGTGCAGAAGAGGATGTCTAAATTTGTCACAATCAGCATGTAAAAAGTTTATTGTACCTTTAAAAGAAATAGAGTTATGAGAGGTAGATTAGAATTTTTCTTGATTATATTCTCATAAAATTGTAAGCTCACAAAAAGTGACATACTAAAAAAAACACCCCAACATTCTTAAGAGTAATATAGATCAGAAAAACTGAAACCTAAATATTACAACACTTAAAAGAGGTAGGCTTTTTAGTTCTTAGGGCAGAGAGTATAATTTCCTTAGAAATTATATGAACTCAACCCAAATTCGAATGCTGTAGTGAATTTTTAATTTTCCTCAAACAGGCAATCATCTGCTTTGCAGATTACCAGGTTCTGGGCAGCAAGTTCTTGAAACTGATAAATGAGCCATTCTCATGGGACCATCTTCATTTCAGCTTATTCTACTGGTTTATTTTTTTAATCTATTTCAACCCTCAAAATAGTATAAGTGACTAAAATGGACAGCTCTATACAATGCCTTTAGTTTGTTTGACATTCTTCCCTAACTAGAGAGGAAGCTGGTGGCACATCAGATTCCTTTATATGCTTTGGAGAAACCTATAGACAACTACTCAACTTTCTTTCACTTAGGAATAAATGTTAATTGGACTTTGTAAACTGTCTCAGCTATATCTCTGGGAATGTCTATTGGAAAGGGGTTCAGGAAAGCATCAAAGTGCTGAAAGAAAGCACCCAAAACTAAGGTACCTGTAAGCCTAATTTTCATGCCATTTGCTTTTTCTCTCAAAAAGTCATGGTATTGAAAACAAAAAAACAGGAAAACACTACTTCATATTATCTCTCTACTAATCTCTTTATCCTTCATGCCCATGTTTGAATGTAAATGTTTTTAACCCAAATATGTTTATGTGGATATGAATGTAACAGGGGAGGGGAGAGGGAGAATAAGAAAAAAGAGAAAGAAAGGATGAAAATAAACACCTTAATCTGTCTACCTTTTTCACTTATTAATTGCCGGGCTACTTCATTCTGAAATATTTCTAAACTTTCTGTATCCTCTTTCATGTGGAAGAGTATGAGAAAAGGCAGTCCTTCTTCTGTCAATTCCTATAGAGAGAAGCATTCAACTATTAGGAGAGCAATAATAAACAGGTTAGTATTTTGAAAATATATATGTCAATTAGTTTGCTAAAGTCAAACATTAACATAGCAGGTGGTAATTTATGCTGCTTGGGGTTCCAAGTTCCTATGTCCACACCAGCATATTCTTTGGCAAGAAAATATTTAAAAAATTCCAAAGAAGGATATCAAGACAATCAGAGTGAGAGGAAACAAATCTTTCCCCATAGTTTAAACAATTTATAAGTGGTTGCTTACAACATATAATAAAATCTCAAGAATTATTTAGCATGCCAACTACCATGGGAAAGGATGGGGGTAGCCCTGTTTAATTGTTTAAGATTTTCCAAGTCTATACCTTTAAATCCTGTTTTTGAAACCAAGAACTGCCAAAGCAGGTAAATAATCATAACAAATTACTAAATTTTTCTGGGCCTCTGAGGACAAATATTTTTTTAAATGTTTACTTTTGTAAAAGTTTGATTTAAATGACCTCAAATATTGTTTTGCAATTATTTGTACTCTTGTATTAATAAATTCTAAGTTTAATTTTTTTTATAAAAGCCATAAATATGAATGTGCATAGAAAAGCAGAGGGAGCTTAAGATCCCAATCTCTTCCAGGTTTCTTGTACTATAGAGCTATGACATTGCATTGACATCTTGTGGCCAAACACTCAAATTGCAGGAGAAGTATTTTGAATTCTGTGAAATGTAATGACCTACCTAAGAGTTCATTATATAGTAATATTAATGACAGGGAATGGACATCCCTGATAGGGAGATGGAGATGAGACTAGATTATAGGTAATAGGCTCAACCTATACTGAACATTAAAAAGAAAAAAAGAATAGGAAATTGAGTCCACTGCACACAGAAGGGTATTATACCATGAAAAATGTGTATTATGTATATACTAGTAAAAATTTTCTACTGTGCCTTATAGTAAAAGAAGATTTGAAAGCTACTACTTGATCCAAACTTTTGGCAAAGTCCTGAACTGTACCTGAACATCCAGTGTGTCATGAGAGGTAACTACACAGGATTTAAAGATACCCATGTTAGCATGTTTATTCAGGCTGATTTTATCTGCTTGGACAGAGGTAAAGAGCCTCACAAAACCACATAAAAAACAAGATGCAAGCCAGGCGCGGTGGTTCATGCCTGTAATCCTAGCACCTGGGAGGCTGAGGCGGGTGGATTGCTCAAGGTCAGGAGTTCAAGACCAGCCTGAGCAAGAGTGAGACCCCATCTCCACTAAATAGAGAAAGAAATTAGCCAGACAACTAAAAATATTTAGAAAAAATTAGCCGGACATGGTGGCGCATGCCTGTAGTCCCAGCTACTCGAGAGGCTGAGGCAGAAGGATCGCTTGAGCCTGGGAGTTTGAGGTGCTGTGAGCTAGGCTGATGTGACGGCACTCTAGCCTGGGCAACAGAGCAAGACTCTGTTCTCAAAAACAAAACAAAACAAAAAACAAGATGCATCTTAAAGAACCAGAATTACTTGGAATTCAGGAAAAGTTCTACTTTGGTAAGCACATTCAAAAACTCTGACAGAAACAACAAAATGGCCTCAAAATGCCAAGCTGTCACATGGAAATACAGATTGAATATCCCTTATCCGAAATGCTTTGGACCAGAAGTATTTTGGACTTGGGTTTTTTTTCACATTTTGGAATATGTGCATTATTCTTACTGGTTCAGCATTCCCAATACACAAGTCCAAAATCTGAAATGTTCCCAGAGTGTCATGTCAGCACTCAAAAAGTTTCGGATTTTGGAGCATTTTAGATTTCAGATTGGGAATACTGTAATTTGAACCATTCTGACTACCGAGAAAATTAGAAAAGTAGGAGAAATATAAAAGAGTATCTCTTTGAAGGCCTCTAAGAGTTAAAAAAAAAAAAAAAAAAAAAAAAAACAGGCCAAGACTGTAATAGATGGAAAACCAGACCATTAAGTATGGCATTTGAAGCTATTAATATAATACTTTTCTCCTAGGACCACCATCTGCATTTCCAGAAGAGGCAACTGTTAGTGCTCAATCCCACTGGGCATTAGTGAAATATAAATTAAAACCACAATGAGATTCTAATATATGTACACCAAAACAGATAAAAATTAAAATTGCTTATAATATCAAATGTGGGTAAGGATATGGAGCAATGTGAGCTTTGATACACTACTGGTAGGAATGTAAACTGCTACAACCACTTTCAAAAGCTGTTTGGTATCATCTACTAAAATCGAACATATGTATGCCCTGTGACTCAGCAATTCTACTCACAGGTATATCTACCAATGGAAATGTGTGTATATATTCACCAAAAGACATATATAAGAAAGAACGTTCATTGCAGCATTATTTGCAATAGTCAAAAACTGGAAGTAATCTAAAAGTCCATGAATAGTAGAAAGGATAAATTGTGGCATATTCATATAAAAGAATTATACAGATGTGAAAATGAATGAACTATGACTTCATGCAATATGAATGAATTCTACAAACATAAAGTTGAGTGAAAGAAGCCAGATACAAAAGACCCTGAATTCCACTTCAGGTTCAAAAACAGGCAGAATCAGTATGGTCGTTATGAAGATGGTAAATGGGGTAATGATTGGAAAGGAGGACAAGAAGTTCTGAAAATCTTCCATCTGTTGACCCAGCTCAAGGACCGGAAATTATAGCCAGGGGTCAAATCTGACTTGACTTGCTGCTTGATTTTGTATGGTCCGCAAGCTAAGAATGGTCTTTACATTTTTTATGATTGGGAAAAAATGTTTAATAATACTATTTCATGACATGTGAAAATTATGTGTCTAGAAAGAAAGCTTTATTGGAACACAGCCACACTCATTTGTTTACATATTGTCTAAAGCTCCTTTTGTGCTACGACTACAAAGTTGTGTTGTTGCAACAGAGACTGCATGAACTGCAAAGCCTGCGATATTTACTATCTGGCCCTTTACTGAAAAACATTGCACATCCCGTGTCTTAGTCAGTTTGGGCTGCTATAACAATGTACCATAGACTAGGCGTCTTTTATACAACAGAAATTTATTTCTCACAGTTCAAATCAGGGTGCTAACATGGTCAGGTTCTGAGGAGAGCTGTCTTCAGGTTACAGTAGACTGCCTACTTCTTTTTGTACCCTCACTTGGTGGAAAGAGAGATAGAGAGCTTTCTGACATCTCTTTTATAAGGGCATTAATCCCACTCATGAGGACTCCACCCTCATTACCTAACTATCTCCCGAAAGTTCCACCTCCTAATACCATTGCATTGGGGGTTAGGATTTCAACATAGGAGATTTGGCGGCACACAAACATTCGATCCATATCACCCTGACTAGGTAGTGATTATAGGGGTGTGTTTCCTTTGTGATAATTTTTTGAGCCATATATTTAAAATTTGATCTGTGCATTTATAATTCTTTGAAGTGTATATGCATATAAAAAGTTTTTTAAAACTGTGCTTAAAAAATTTTTTTAAACTTGCATTCTTAGACCACGGGTTTTAAAAATGAAAGAGCTGAAATGAAAGATATGCTTCACATACAGTAAAGAAAGGAGAGAAGTCCTCACAGACATAACTCTTTGTACTTGTTCATTTAACATTTTAGGTTTTTGAGTTTTGTTTTTGTGGGAGTTGTAAGAGTTCCGATGGACTTTCTTTCAGGTGCATGGGAAGACTGAGGTCAGTTACATGATCATTGATAACTGCTTCCATTACTTACCATAAAAAAGACAATACAACTGCTTTACAGGAATCAGAAAAAAGCCTTTTAGTGGCAAAGGATTATTCACTGTATATAATTAATTATAACTAGGCAAAGCATTGCTTCTAAAGGATATCCACTTAAACAATCATCTTCAACCAACAAGTGGGCATCAGAACCACCTAAGAAGCATTTTCAAACTCATTTCCAAGGCTGCAGTGAACTGCTACCATTAGTGGAAATGTAACAGAGGGGTTCTGGGACAGCAAAGGTGAAGAATCACTGGCCTGTATTATGGAAATAGCTATGATATAATTATGTTCACTATATGATTTTTACAACTGATAACTCTGTATTAAAATAGTAAGAAAGGTAGAGAAAGCTTGCTCTGAATTTTAAAAATAACAACACAAATTAGAAAGCCCATACCTCTCCATTTTCAAATGTTATTTCTCGGACAAGAGGAACGCATTTATCTTGAATCCAATTGTAAGTCACATCAAAGTTTGTCATAGATCCCAAGTACACCATATCTGGAGCAGACTATCACAAAAATAGAAAAAAAAATTTAAAAAATCTAAGGTATGCTGGCTCAAGTACATTCTTAAATCCATCTATGAACCCAGAAAAATCTATTGGAAATACAGAAGAAATGTAAAACGTAGAACTTCTGAGGAAAAGGGCCATAAATGGTAAAAGCTGATCATTCTGTGATTACCAGGGACATGATAATCCAACTTGTGACGTCCAAGCCTCCTGCTTTTCCTTGGATTTAGGTCAATTAACTGTTTGTCAATATCTTCACCAAAGGCAAGCAGGCATTGTGAAAAGAAGAATTCTCCAAATGAATTAATTTATCTATTCCTTAGAGTTGAAAATGTCAGAAGAAAATTTAGAGAGTGAAAAAGCCTTTAAAAATACAAGATGCTATATAGATATAAGGCATGACTATTTCTATTATTAGTTACCTAGAGATCTGTTTCCATACTTACTCCAAATCAATATTTATAAAATGCCTAAAATGATGATAAAAATAATAGCTAATATTGAATAAACTTACTGTGTCTAAGCACTGTTGTAAGCATTGTATATGTGTTGATTTATTTAATCCTCCCACATCCCTGTAAGGCAGGTACTGTTATTATCACCTCCTATTTTTACTAACAAAGAAACCAAAGCACAGAGAAGCTAAGAAACATTCCTAGCATAGCACACCGAAAAAGGTGGCACAACTGACACTGAAACCTAGACAGACTGATACCAGAGCCCATGCTCTTAACAACCTACTACAATGGAAGACACTATACTGGATTCTGCTAATCTAGAGCTGATGACACCCTGTAAGCTACTATTAAAAAAATGCACTTGCAGAAAATACAGGCAAATACCTGTCTGAATTCAGAATAGGAAATAAGCTTTCTAAGCAAGAAATTCATTTATCTGACTACATAAAAGTTAAAAATCTCAGTGTGTCAAAACACTGCAGACAACATTAAAATGAAAACTATGAATTGAAAAACTATCCACAGATTTCTATGTTTGTGTGTGTAGAAAAAATTGCAATGGCAGAACTTTAGGTCAATTTGGGATAAAACTCACTATGAGTTTTGCCTCTTAGTTGTGGCTACCATTATCTGGGTCTAAGCAGCTACTTCTATGCTTAGACACATTTAAAACTTCTTAGCCCAAGAGTTAAAAACAACATGGCTGCTCCTTATTATCTGGCAAGTACCAAGTACATTTATACCCCAGAAGATCTGGGAGCTTGTCTAGTACAATGCAGGTCAGAGTGATGACCATGTACCACTGAAGCATCGTTTGGATTTGGCTCCCAAACTGAAAGCAAAACAGAAAGGTAGAAAAGGCCAGAGGGTCAGGGGATCTTTGATCCCAGCTCTGCTACTAAATGCCTGTATGACTCTAGCCTCTGTGGCCCCATCTTCACTTTGAAAGGTTTAGATTAGCATAAGATGATGCTTCAAGGTTCCTTTCTATCCTAAAATTCTATAATCCTATGAATATTAACACATATAAAACTATAGACTATACTATACATATAAAAATATCTGATTATACACACTAAGAAATAGCAACTTACCCCTGGTGGTTTGTAGATTATGTTGTCTCCACTATATCTTTCTGGTTTTGAAACATCCCTAACAGGAAGGGAAAAATAGTAATAACGCTTTTTAAGAAAACAATAACAGTAATATACCTGAATGACTCAGAATTACCTTGTTATTTTGCAATGTATGAATTATAGACTTGAAATATATACTTGCCCATCACCTTTCCTATTTATAAGACTATGCAATACCAAGACAAGTACACATTTAAAGGAAAAATTAAATATGAGGCAGATGTTTTAAAGGGAAATTTTAGTTAGCTGTATTGTGATTTTTATTTCATGAATTTAGACTGGTAGTTTTAGCACTAAAAAGTTGTTTTTGATCCTAGACTGTTTTCCAGCAACTGGGGATCAAAGTCATTGATTTGGTCACATAGACTAATAATCCTTATTAATCAGACTGAACCATGAATTTTCTACTTTTTAAAACCAAAATTTAATTTTAAAAAACAGATGAATTGAAATAACCTACATCTCTAAACTACAGTTCCATAAATAAGTTATGTTTTATTTGTACACTGTTTTTTCCTATGTCTACTATAGTATCTGGCATATAATAGGTACTCAATAAATGTTTGGTCAGTGACTTCTACAACATATTCTAAGTCAAATGGGTAACTTTCTCTCTCTTTAAATTACTTTTAGATTAATTGAATACTGACTTATTTTCAGTTTCAAACTAGAGTAGTCCAGGTGATAGAGGCAAGGAGTCCTAACCTACATTGATGATGGTGGGAACAGAAAGGAAGAAAATGATTCATTTAACAACTATTTACTATGCATTTCCTTTGTACCAGGGGTGGTCTTGGCACTGGGTATACAGCAGTGAACAAAACTAACAAAATTCTCACTTTCATGGAGCTTACATTTTGGTGAGGAAAGACAGAGTAACAAGTAGATATATTTATCTTGGGTGGCTAAAAAAAAAAAGTGCTATGAAGAAAAGTAAGTGGGCCAGGCGCGGTGGCTCACACCTGTAATCCTAGCACTCTGGGAGGCTGAGGCGGGAGGAACGCTTGAGCTCAGGAGGTTGAGGTTGCTGTGAGCTAGGCTGAGACCATGGCACTCTAGCCTGGGCGACAGAGCAAGACTCTATCTCAAAAAAAAAAAAAGGAAAAGTAAGTGAATAAGTGGGTAAAGCATGATGGTAGTACTACTTTATACAAGGTTATAAGGCAAGGACTTTCTGATGTGATGACATCTGGGAGAAGCACTGCCAGATACAGAACATTCACAGCAAAAGCTCTGCTACAGAAGTGTGATTGCAGCATTTAAGGAACAGCAAGATGACCTGTATAGCTGGAGTACAGTAATGTGAAAACTATGGAAGGCAGCAGTGTTCCCCCATTTACTCTGTATATGAGAATGCTTACTATAAAAGATACACACAAAATCTACAAAAGCATTAAAGCAAGGACAAAGAACAAAGGTCACAAAATGGAGAAGATATACTGTGTCAGGAATCTGGGATTTACTTAAGATAGCTACTGCAATTGAGCCTAACAGTTATAAGCCAACGAAAAAAGAGAAAGAATATGACACGGAAGTCAAAGCACAGTTGACATAACTTCCAATGAGAAGAGAGGGTCAAAAATAGAACCATAAAAATGATTCTATTTTGAGAAAGAAAGAAAGAAAAAAAAGAAGATATTAGCAAATTCAGAAAGGTAAGCAGCAAACCAGACGGATTCAATGTAAATAAGTGTAGATATAGAAAAAAGGAAAGAGTAGTTACATGTCACATCCTTCCGAGGAACTGAAGAAGATTAAGATTGAAGAAAAGGCAGTGGATTTCATAATTAAGCAGTCATTTTGTGACTATGCAGAGACATTAGAGCAATGGAGGTGAAAGCTTCCAAGAGGTTAAGGATTTTTACTGGTTAGTGTTTGAGAAAATCAAGGTAACCAAACATAAACTAATCTTTGAAAAAATGTGGGAATGAAAAGAAAGATGAAATTATAGCTCAAGATACAGAAGGAGGTCGGGAAAGAAAGAGGCATGTTTTCAGAGAAGTAAAGCAGGTCATAAAAAAAGAGCCAGGTTGAAAACAAAAGAAAGCAGGGACTACTGATGGATTAAAGCCCCAGAGGAGTTTGGAGGGATAGTTACAAGGACACCGGCGAAGAGGTAAGCCTTAGAAAGAGAACTGATTCTCTGAGACAGGGAAGATATAAGAAAAGGTGGTGGAGAGATGGAGGTGAATGAAGACTACAAAGCCCATGCTGCTTTAACAAGAAGACAATGTGTCGTTTCAGTCTGGTAACCCCACAGGTTAGCATTTTGCCTGGCACAGGATAAGTATTAGTAAATGAGTTGAATAAAGGCATGAATGACTTAACTGTTATCTTGTCCACTCTCTACCTCTTACCCACCTTCTGAAATAGAATATACTTCAGGAAGGAGAATAAAAAGACTTTTAAACCCTTAAAAAAAATTCAGAGATAGGTATAAAGACTGGTATAAAGACTTTAAGAGGACTGAGATAATCTTTGGAGAGGTCATCCTCAGAAAAATGACAAAATACAACAGGATTTAACATGGCAGCCAAGCCAAGCCACTAACACTTTTAATTAAGATACTTACCCAAATGCAGAAAGGAAGGCACAGTCATCATGCAAAATATTTGCTACTCGTTCAAAAACTCTATAGTTGTCTGAATCCTTTTGCTCAAAATATCCAATGATACTTCTTTTGCTGCGCTGTAAAATAAAGTATCTAATTATTTTGCAAACATATGTAGTTCTATAAACATGTTATTTCATTTACCCCTTATTCTGGGATAAATGACAGCTCCAGCTGTTGTTCAACTATCTCCAAATGAAGTAGGATTACAAATGCATATTTAGCTTTTAACATCTAGCCCAAAAGTATTAAAGATTGGGTTGAAAATAACCTTAACTTCAATAAATGTAATTATAAACACTTCCTTCTAGCATTTTATTTAAAATTTCAATAAATACATAACGATTTGATCAGTGATAATCTTTTCCTAAGGTGACTAATCTTAAAATGTGTTAAAAACAGTGTATCAACTCATAACTTGTGACTGTTGGTAGAGACTCCTCCAGGGGTCTCTCACACTCCCGCACACGTTACTGAGTATGCCAAAAATGCAAGACCCTGACCACTCTTTACCCAGGCCATTTCTCAGGGCTGTGCTTGCAGCAAGCAACACTGAGATATGAAGTAATGTCTCCCTGCAGGACAGGGAGCAGGGTTACTGCTTGCTCTGAAATGGTGAGTTCCCCAAGTCCAGGGCTCCTCTCCAGTGACTTAACCCACTGAAGGTACAGGCATCCATCTGGGCCCTCTGTGTTACATCCACAGGGCAGGGGGCAAGGAAACAAATGCAAACACACTCACACTGCTTGCCATGATGTGAGAAATAAGGTCCTTTGTCTCTGACCCAGGAGTCTGACAGAATCCAACTTACCAATTATGCATATGTCAAATCCACTGCAATGAACTACAAGGGCACGTCCAGATTCTTTTGTTTGCATTATAATTTGTTTACATTAATTAAACAGGCAATGTTCATCTGATCTAGAAAAACTTACAACTTACATCAAGAGTGCTGATTTCTGCTAAGTCCCGAATTTCTTGAATGGGGTCACTTTTTTGTTGCCTGATGTAATCTGCAAGTGCTTTCACTGATCGCTGACCCCTGTATTCTCTCTTCATCATCATTCCATTACGAAACAATTTGAGGGTTGGGTATTTGCTTATCCTGTATCTCTGGGCTATATCAGCTAAAACAATGAAAAAAAAATTAACTTTACCCTCATATTTGCTCAGGGCGAGCCCATCAGCCTGACAGTCAAAAATCTCATAATCACTTAGTGAGAACTTTTTGGTTCATGTCATTTTTTTCAGTGAGAGAGACAGAAAAAAAATTAATAATGATTTAAGTTTATGTTAGTTAAGAGACCAGGCTCTGAACTCATACTGCCTGGGCTTAAATTCCAAATTTGCCACTTACTGGCCATGTGAACTTGTAAATTGCATAAACTCTCTATGCTTTAGTTTCTCATCTATTACACAAGGATAATAATTTCTACCACATAAGGCAGTTTTAAGGATTACATAAGATAATACAAATGCATGGAGCAATAAGCATGGCACATGAATATGGGCTATAAAAAACAGCAATATAATTATGTCTCATGGGGTTTGACACAAATTAAAATACATGACGATGACAACAGCAGCATGTAAGCTGGGGGAGGGGAGATAAGCAGGAGGTAAATTATGTTAAATATTGTAAGATCTTTGCACTGTCCAGAAAGAGGTAAAAGTACTTATAATATTTTAATAAGTCAAGGTTGTATTTTGTTCTCTCTAGGATATGCAATGAAAGAATACTAAAAGTAAATTAGAGATTAAAATGAAATATGGCTTCTCAGAAGAATGGCTGGAGAAAAGGCTATGTAATTAAGTTCACATAACACTTTGTTAAACAACATTGAGGATTTATAAAGGGGAAATCATGATTGATTAGTAAAATTCTGTAAATGGAAGGCAAATAAGAGTAAACAAAGGGAACTACTGGTCATATATGAGCTTCAGAAGAATGCTTTATTCATCAAATCAGAGAAATCAGAAATAATATTGAGACTTCTTAATTTCCACATATTTAATGGAGACAATAATACCTAGTTTAGGAGTTGGTACTTCCTTGAAGCAGATGACTAATAGATGTATCAGCTATGAGGCCTTTCTCAACCTGATAAATTACAATGAGAGTTCTGGGTGAGGTGGCTCACACCTACAAATCCTAGCACTTTGGGAGGCCCAGGTGGTAGGATCACTTGAGGGCGAGTTCAAGACCAGCGTGAGCAACATAGCAAGACCCCATCTCCACAAAAACTAAAAAGATTAACCGGGCATAGTGGTACAAGCCTGTAGTCTCAGCTACTCAGGAGGCTTGAGGCAGGAGGATAGCTTGAGCCCCGGAGTTTGAGGTTGCTGTGAGCTATGATGACAACATTGCACTCTAGCCTGGGCGACACAGTAAGACCCTGTCTCAAAAAAAAAAAAAAAATTACAATGAGAGTCTGTGTCTTTGAGGTGTTATAAAGACGATGGATCCTATTACCTGAGCAAGGAATTAATGAGATTAAATTGGTACTATAAATTGAGAAGTGAGATTGATACCATAAGCAAATAGAAGTCTTTTATATTAAGCACAGGTACCTGTAATAAGGCAAAAGCCACCAAGGCTTGAGTTTATCCTACTTACAAGAAAACCAACCTGAAGAAATAATAAAAAATAGAAACTAGGCCGGGCGCGGTGGCTCACGCCTGTAATCCTAGCACTCTGGGAGGCTTAGGCGGGTGGATTTTTTGAGCTCAGGAGTTCGAGACCAGCCTGAGCAAGAGCGAGACCCCGTCTCTACTAAAAATAGAAAATAAATTAATCGGCCAACTAAAAATATATAGAAAAAATTAGCCGGGCATGATGGTGCATGCCTGTAGTCCCCAGCTACTCGGGAGGCTGAGGCAGAAGGATTGCTTGAGCCCAGGAGTGTGAGGTTGCTGTGAGCCAGGCTGACGCCATGGCACTCACTCTAGCCCGGGCAAAAGAGTGAGACTCTGTCTCAAAAAAAAAAAATAGAAACTTTACCTTTCCAATTAAAAAATACATTCACTTACAGCACACTACACACTGAAACCTAGCATATTATAAATTAAATATGTGTATAATGTATACATTAAAAATTTTGTAATATAAATGCTGTTAAAATTAGGTTAAATAGTCCTACTGACCAATGCTACAATGTTGTGGTCTGGAGAATGGAAAATGTCTTTTTAAAAGTTACTATTTCCCCAAATATCCATCAATAGGAGACTGGTTGAATAAAGTATGGTACACTCATACAATGAAGTACTAGGTTGTTATATAAAGGAATGAAAAAGATCTCTGTCTGCTACTAAGGAGCAATCTTCAAGATGTACTGTTAGATAAAAAAAGCCAAGTGCAGAAGAGTACAGGTAAAATATTTTGTGTAAGAAATATGAAGAAACCTGGGAAAGGAATATGAATACATGTGCAGATACATACACACATATACATGTCTATATATGCTTGCTTATATATTTGTCTCTCCCCACCCAAAAAGAAAAACCAATGGAAGAAAATGGGAGGAAGGGTCAGGGATGAAATTTAGATTTCCCTGACTTTACTTTGGTTTTACAGTTTTGACTTTGGAACCATGAAAATGTTAACATTAAAACAAAATTAAATAAGAAAAAATGTTAATACTGGCATTGTTATTTTGAATTTAAACACATATACTATAGATAAAACATATGAGTTAATGCCATTAAGAATCAAGATTTTTCAGCATAAGAAAAAATATATAAAATTGAGGTAATTAAGTAAAAACCCCATAATATTTAATTTGAATTGGATGTGCCAGCATGAATTCATGATGTTTTTCTCTTTTAAACATGTACTTCTAAGCTCTTTCTATTGACAGCTATTAACAATAACTTAATGCCAGTAAGTTTTAAGACTTAGATAAAATGAAAAAATTCCCACAAAAATACAACTTACCAAAACTGACAGTAGAAGAAATAGAAAATATAAATGGTCCTAAAATTATTAAGAAAACTGTAATTCAAAGCCTTCTCACAAATAAAATGCCATTCCTAGAAACCTTCACCAGCAAATTCTACCAAACATTTAAGGAGCCAATAATGCCAATTTTACACAAACCATTTCAGAGGATACAAAAAGAGAGGACACTTCCCAACCAGTTTTCGAGATCAACGTAAATCTTTTTGGGAGAGCTGACAAGGAAATTATGAGAAAAGAATAGTATATGTTCATCTTTTTCAAGATTATAGATGCAAAACTTGAAAAGAAAAAATTAACGAACTGAATTTTGCACTATATACAAAGGATAATACATCACAATATTTGAAAACCAATTAATGTAATTCATAACATTAACAGAATAAAAGAAAAATACTATTACTTCTCAAAAGAAGCACTAAAACATTTGATAAAAATCAACATCCATTTCTGCTTAAACACTCTTATTAGGAAACTAGTACAAGAAGAAAACTTCCTTAATTTGATAAAGGATATTTAAATAAGCAAATACCAAACAACTAAATGGTAAAACACTAAAAGCTTTCCTGCTGAGATCAAGAAAGAAGATGCACCCGAAGGATGAACATATTTGAAACTCGGACTTGGGGGGGAGGGGGGGACCAGGGCAACATACGTAACCTAAACATCTGTACCCCCATAATATGCTGAAATAAAAAAAAAAAAGAAAGAAGATGCCTGTTATCACTTCTATATAACACTGTACTGGAGTTCTTAGTGTAATAAAATAAGGAGGAAAAGAAGAATATATATACACTGGAAAGGAAGAAATAGGAATGTCATTATTTGCAGATGATTTTATTGGGTTCACAGAAAACTCAAAAGAGAATCTACAAAAGGATTTCCACTTCTAAGTAAGATGTAGTGAATAGCAGAAATCTACTGCTCCTGTTGCCACAACTAGGAAAAACTGTGTTTTGTTTTTTTTTAAATTACATTTTTAAAGATATCATACCTAACGGGTACAATGTACACTATCTGGGTGATGGGCACGCTTATAACTTTAACTCAACCAGTACAAAGGCAATCCATGTAACAAAAACATTTGTATCCCTATAATATTCCAAAATTAAAAAAAAATAAAGATATCAGAAATCATGAAAGCAATGAAGACTAAATGAACTGAAATTCCAGAAAGGGAAGAACCATTCCTAGGTAAGCAAATTTTTCTTTCCTATAGGTTTCCTACGTAATTCCTTTCTGAAATTAAATCCGTAATTGTAGATTTAGGGTTGAGAATTATACTTACATAGGCAAGAATAAAGTGAAATAAATAAAGCATAGCCACCTGGACTGACATGGTGCATTGAAAGGGTCCTAAAACACACTGCAAGTCTCCCCAGAGGACATTTACTGAGTGCTGGAGTGACATAGGAAACTGGAGAGTTATGGTCAAGGAGACAGAATAAAATCTCCTATGGCCACAAGGTGCTTAGGAGACAACGTCTACTTGTATAAGGGACCTGCAATTCTATGCCAAGGCCACATACAGCCAAGACATTTGCCAGATTTTGAAGCTACATAGGCCAGAAAGCATCTGGATGTTGGGAAAAAAACATGAATACTTGATAAACCAGAAGACAGATACTTGTGTCACGTACTAGAGACAAATGATTAATATTCAGAATGTATAAACAATTTCAAAAGGACTACCAAAAAGATAAGTGGGCTAAAGATACCAGTCGATTTATGAAAGAAACACACATGGTCAATAAACATAAAAACACGCTCAGTTGTAATCAGGAACTTACAGATCAAAACTACCAGATAACATTCTCTCCATCACATTGGCAAAAAACCAATAATAATAAAAATTGTAAAAACTAAAATTCAGGGCTTCATCTTCTGAAGTGAGGTATCACCAGAATGGAAGAATAAGCACCACATATACTAGCCATCAAATTGGCATTAATTGATCAACACTAAGGTGCTCACATCGTAGTAATATTCACTGGAGGTTGGGGTGGGATGGGTAAACTCACAACTAATGGATGCAGTGAGCACTGTATGGGGAAAGGGCACGCCTCTAGTCCTGGCTTGAGTGAGGCAAAGTCGTAACTTGTAACCAAAATGTTTGTACCCCCATAATATCTTGAAATTAAAAAAAAAAAAAAAATTCAGGGCTTGCTTCAG